GGTACATTAGGTACAAAACAGTAAATGATAAATACTTGGATTAAGTGATCTTTATGTCCTAGAACAGAGTTTTTCAACCTCAGTACAACTGACATTTTGGGCTGGGGAAATTTTTGTTCCAGTGATCATGAAGATAGCAGAGGACTGGGTAAAAGCCAGCTCGATGGGAACTAACAATATCAACAACACATATTTTGCTGTGGGAGCTGTTCTGTGCATTATAGGATATTAGGGTTAGCACCCCTGACATTTTCCCACTAGGGTGGCAGTAGCACTCTCACAGTTGTGATAACCAAACATGTCTCCAGACATTGCCAAATGTCCCCTGGGTACAAAATCACCCTGGCTGAGAACCAGTGCTTTAGGATGATTCACTTTTCTCTGTGTAACAATTTTCACATTAATCTTTGCAAGAGATGATAAGGGTTTGCTGCACAACATTGGTACCTTTCCACTAATAAAACTTTAACATTTCAAAATGAAGAGCACAAAGATTTACAATTAGGTTTTATAAAAATTCTAAATATGTTTAAGTTATACTTGTAACTTACATATACCACAAAAAAAGGTAGTGAGATTCAAATGTACGTCTTTCAATAAACTGTATTTTATTACAGAATAAATCTCCAGAAAAAGAAAAGGAAAACGTTACCTCAATCGCTATTAAGATAACAAATCAGTAGGAACAAATTCAGAGGTCACAGTAACACTGAGTAAGATTTTATCTAAAAGTCTTTATACTTTCCTGACTTAGTTCCTTTCTTCTAGATGAGGTCAATAAAACAAAAGATACCCTTTAATATAAGTTGAAATACTTTTCTAATAAACCCTTAAGTTTTACTAATTTAAAATAATACTTTTATCGTATTAATAGAAATTCATGTTTGTTTTTATATTGCCTTAATGTTCCAAGAATGCAGTTGCCACAGTTAAACAGTGGTGGCACAGGAAAAAAACAACACAGAACTGGGTTTTATTTGAAAAAAAACCATTCTTGACACAGTTAACTCCATTTACTCCACTTTTCACCTGGATGGGTATCACTCTCCTCTGGTGTCTTCACTCTAGTCTCTCCCTTCCTAAGTCATCCTCTATGTAGTCACACAGAGCAGATTAACTCTCAATTAACTCTCTAGCAATGGCTTTCAGAGACCAGCATTACCTGGGCACGTACTGAAGGCAGAAATTCTCGGCTCAATTCTAGACCTACTGAATCAGCAACTATGGGGGTAAAGCCCAGAATCTATGCTGTATCAAGCTCAGCTTCTGATGTCGACTGAAGTTTGAGAGCCACTTGTCCTAGAGCACTGCTGAGATAACAAGGTTCCATGATGGCATCTGAGTTTGGCATTCCAAGCCTAGACGA